GAGAAAGAAGAGACAGCCAGGGGAGGGAGTAAGAAGACCGACTATAGAGGACTACAAATCCCAGCAATACAAAATTATATGAAGCTACATACTCTGTTGTTCCGGGGGTGGCACCTTGATGTCTTCAGGGTCTCAGGTGGATTGTGCGGGCTCTGAAGTGGACACCGTGGGCTCTCAAGGTGGGCTGTGCAAGCTCTCAGGTGGGCGATGCGGTCTCTCAGTGTTGGGTGTGAGGTGGGCTATGCAGGCTTTCAGGTGTACTGTGCGGTGGCTCACCAGGGGTCTGGAGGCAGGCAGGTGTCAGGAAGACAGAGGAGGACATGTGCGGGCCAGCGCCTGTTTACAGGCGCCCACGGCTCACAGGAAGATGCGACTTCAGGCAGATGCAGCTGCCTGAGGTCCTGCGCTTACTGGGGACCTCGGCAGCCGCATCTGTGCCGGTATCGGTTTTTCTGCAGCAGACCCTGGAAGGCTTGTGAGGATAGAATGAATACAGGGAAATCTTAGACGAATATCTGACGCAGTGTGTAAGAAACCTGAGCATCGGGAGAATGTTTGTCTCCCAGCAAGGCAATGGCCCCAATCATAAAGCTAGAACTGCTAAATAATGGCCTATAGGATAAGGAAACTCCCCTGCAAAGTATCCTTACCCCCTCCTAAGAGGTGTAACTCACCCTCCGTTCCCCAATTAGCTACTAGCCTAAATTTTCCTCTGCGGCAGTGTTTACATTCCTCCGCTGGCCTCTTGATCTAATTTCCAATGGAATTGCTGCTGATGTGTAAACCTTCCGCCCAATGTAAAGCTGAGGGAATGCCGTTCTCACTGCATTACTGCCAATAGATGGCACCAAGGAGAATAGGAATTTCCCATGCTCATGGGTGCCATTTAGTGGCAGCAATGGTATGTGAACAGTATTCGCCCAGCTTTTAGCAGAAGGTTTATACATCAGCCCCCAATTTAAAGGGCTTTACACATTTCGTTATTTTGTGTGTGTGTGTGTTTTGTACTGTAATTATCTTAAATCATTTTGTAGGAAATTTCCACTTTGACACTATAGTGCATATTTGTGTAAAATAAATGTAATCTACACACTCTATGACCATAAAAGATGAAATCTCCAAGAGGATGGGGGGGAGATCACTACTTTTTATAGGCACTGTATACGTCAGCAATTATTATTATTGCAGATCTTTAAGGAAATCCCTAATATCTGTATGCCCAAGACAATGAAAACCACCTACCACGTCCACCGGCTGCTCAGTCCCTGTGCTCTCCACCACAGCAGAAGCTTCAGAACTGTCTTCATGAGGATTCATAGGACTGGGAAAATAACAAAGCAATGACAAAAATGTAAAGGGTGCGTAATGGTTCTCCTATTTTCTTAAATATACCAACAAAAATGTGTTTTGTTATATTTGTTCGATAAGTGCAGAAAAAAATACCTGTTGATCCTGCAAGAATCTTGTGAGCTGGTAACTAACTGTCCTCTCTGCCTGTGCTGACTGTTATCAGTTACATTGTTCCCAGCTATCTCTGTGGACTAAATATCTCCTTCCCACTATGTTATGTAGAAGGGGGGGGGGGGTGTTTTTAGTCCTGTCCTAGGGTGACAACACTGCTCTGCTCCTCCATAGATACATTACAGTGAGTGAGCGTTGTCACCATTGGACAGGAAGCATGTTACTGGCACAATCCCCAGGTAAAAAAAAAAAAGGTAAAAAAGCCTGGGAAAAAGAAAACTAATGCAGCCAGCAGATTTAAGGAATAGTAGGCTGCAAAAGATTACATTGTCGTTCTTACACTCCAAGAGAGCATTTTTCCATGATAAAGTCTGCCATGTAGAGGCAGGTAGTTTAGATCTATTTATAGTTTGTAGAGCTGCAACAACTAATCGATGATGAGAATAGTTGGCAACTATTCTAATCATTGATTTGTTGTTTGAGGGAGGGGTAAAGAGGGAGGGATAATTTTTTTTATACAACCAAACGATTAGTTGAAAATATAATTGGGTAACTAATCAATTATGAAAATATTCGTTAGCTGCATAACAATCGATTATGAGAATAGTTGGCAACTATTCTCATCATTGGTTAGTTGGTTGAGGGAGAGAGAGGGAGGGGGAGAGAGGGAGATTTTTTTTAGTACAACCAATCGATTAGTTGAAAATATAATTGGGTAACTAATCAATTATGAATACACAATATTTATGTATGTCAAACAATGTAATCCGGAAAGAAGTACCTCTAGGTGGGTTATAATTTTTCACTGGAGTTGAACATGGTACTGCATTACAGCTCACAGACAGTAATAATAGAAGTGAATGTCGGGAAAACAGGAGAATAGTTCTGGGGGGCTGACAGGGGGCTCATTCACATTTGTCTGGATAGCATGAAAATACACGCAGCAATGAACTTCGTCATAATTAGATGTGTCCCGGAATGGATTTTTTGAAATTGAAACCAAAAATTTAAAAAAATGTGTCAGGCCAAAACCAAATATTTTTTTTTTCTAAGCTTTTTAATTTAATATATTTATTGAATTTTCAATACAAATATCCATTGAACACTTATAACAATATCATTCACAAATAAGGTAATATCACAAAACAAGCTCACCAAAATATTGAACCCTCATACTAGTAAGACCTTCTATATGCATTTAGTCTTATAGCACAATTACATGTCTACATATTGTACTTCTTGATTTACCAATCATCTATTTCCCCTTATATCTATTTTGCTAACTTGACCCTCATTTGACAACAGACCCTTCTACACCCATCCTACATAGGAAATGAATGACTAAATATTTAAATAAATCTACTATCGGTCTAGTGAGCGGGTTATTCCGACTTCAAAAATATCCCCAATAAATATCCCTAATATTTGTGTAAAAAAATAGCGCTGTGCTTATGAACAAATACAAAAACACTGCTTTCAGGGTAAAATCTGTTAGTGAGCATTGTGCTCGAAAAAACGAACAACATTTCTACTATTGGAATAGTTATTCCGACTTAAAAAAAAATCCCTAATATTTGTGTTAGAAGAAAGTGTGATCCTTGTGAAATAATACCTGAACCCTGCTTTCAGGGTTCTAAGCTTTTTAAAATTATTTTTTTAATATATTTTTTTTTTTTACTTTACTGTGTGGGGCTCTGGGGAAATATTGGGGCTCTAAATCAGACTCCTGATATTTCCCTTTTGAAATAGAAAAAGAGATGGAGGGCTTGTTCACACCAAATGCAGACCAGATCTGCATGAGTTTCTGCACACGCAGTGCAGTGGGCTGTGCCGCGTTTTTGATGCGTTCCGGGCCGTTTTTTGGTAAATAAACTTTTTTTTAAAATGGGCTTTTAGTGCGTTCCAGGGTGTTTGCATGCGTTCCAGAGCAGGTAAAATAGGGCTTGCTGCAGTTTTTTTTTTACATGCTCTGTAATTGAACGCAGCGATGTGAACTAGAGCCCAAAATACCATTTGAATACATTGGACGCAGTTTGGATCCGGTCTGTAACGGCTCTGCTCTTGGAACGCGCTTGGTGTGAACAAGGCCTAAGGACAGTTTTCTGCAGCCCCCGTTATGAATGAATGAAGCAGAAGCCTCTAAACTAATCATGTCCATTCATGTTCCTGTCCATTCATAAAATGAGGAGATAGTAACTGATACTATGTCCCCAATCATGTGTGACAATCAATGCAGAGCACTTCGTAAGAAGCATTTCAAGGTCCTGGAGTGGCCTAGCCAGTCTCCAGATCTCAACCCCATAGAAAACCTTTGGAGGGAGTTGAAAGTCCGTGTTGCCCAGCGACAGCCCCAAAACATCACTGCTCTAGAGGAGATCTGCATGGAGGAATGGGCCAACATACCAGCAACAGTGTGTGCCAACCTTGTGAAGACGTACAGGACACGTTTGACCTCTGTCATTGCCAACAAAGGATATATAACAAAGTATTGAGATGACCTTTTGATATTGACCAAATACTTATTTTCCACCATAATTTGCAAATAAATTAGTTCCAAATCAGCCAATGTGATTTGTCTGGATTTGTTTTCTCATTTTGTCTCTCATAGTTGAGGTCTACCTATGATGCCAATTACAGGCCTCTCTCATCTTTTAAGTGGGAGAACTTGCACAATTGGTGGCTGACTAAATACTTTTTTGCCCCACTGTATAGTGACTCTTCCATGACAGGTCCTCCCAGTGCTGACCCATCCTCGCCCCCTGCTGACCCATCCTCGCCCCCTGCTGACCCATCCTCGCCCCCGGGTGTTAGGTTTGTAAACTGAGCCTGCTGTAGTCTGACATCGCACTGATTTATGTATACATACAGAGCAACACTGACTGACCAAAACCTTCATAGAAAGAGACACTGACTCACAGTGACACACACACACAGCGCCGGCTCCCCTGAGGTACACTAAGATACAATATAGCACTGACTGGCTGGCTGTAATACAATGTAGCACTGACTGACACACTAGGATACAATGTAACACTGGCTGACACACTTGGATACAATGTTCCACTGACTGGCAAACTAGGATACAATGTTGCACTGACTGACACACTAGGATACAATGTTGCACTGGCTGACACACTTGGATACAATGTTCCACTGGCTGACACACTTGGATACAATGTTCCACTGGCTGACACACTTGGATACAATGTTCCACTGGCTGACACACTTGGATACAATGTTGCACTGACGCACTAGGATACAATGTTGCACTGACGCACTAGGATACAATGTTGCACTGACGCACTAGGATACAATGTTGCACTGACTGACGCACTAGGATACAATGTTGCACTGACTGACACACTAGGATACAATGTTGCACTGACTGACACACTAGGATACAATGTTGCACTGACTGGCACACTAGGATACAATGTAACACTGACTGACACACTAGGATACAATGTTGCACTGACTGATACAAGGTTGCACTGACTGATACAATGTAACACGTCTCTCCCCCTCACACACCTGCAGTGGCCACGCGGGTTTCCCCCAGCCGACCGGGACTGCAGAGGGATCCGGGGAGGAGCCGGCAGCGGATTGGTCAATTTCGCTCACTGCCTCCTCCTGGTTGGATGACACACTTGGATACAATGTTCCACTGGCTGACACACTTGGATACAATGTTGCACTGACGCACTAGGATACAATGTTGCACTGACTGACACACTAGGATACAATGTTGCACTGACTGGCACACTAGGATACAATGTAACACTGACTGACACACTAGGATACAATGTTGCACTGACTGATACAAGGTTGCACTGACTGATACAATGTAACACGTCTCTCCCCCTCACACACCTGCAGTGGCCACGCGGGTTTCCCCCAGCCGACCGGGACTGCAGAGGGATCCGGGGAGGAGCCGGCAGCGGATTGGTCAATTTCGCTCACTGCCTCCTCCTGGTTGGCCGACGCCGCTGTCCCCTGAAGTGATGCGCAACAGTAACATCACGTGACAGGAGCCGCTCTATTCCATTCAGTGCTGAGGTCTCGCCGTTGTACCTCAGAGAAGCTCATCATCCACTCATGACCCCATTAGGGCTGTCGTTAACCCCTTCTGCTCTTAAAATGCCTGTTAGAGTGTCACTAACCCCCTTCCTGAATCCCACAAGAGCGCCTTTAATTATTTGTTTAATATATAAATATTTCAATGAAAACATTGTTTTGTATGGAGGCAGGAAGGGTTACAGGGTCTGTCAGCATGTTATTACCATCGGTGTCCCTATAGGAAAGATTCTCCCCTCACTTCCTGCCAGGAGAAAAGGGAAGGGAAATCTCTCCAATATGGACAGATCTAGTACAGAGAGGAAGTACTGATAATGTTTTTGTAACTCTACATGTCTTCCGGTCCCCTTGACAACCTCTTCCCTTTTTCTTGAACTGGTGTCACATGGACAGAAAGCGAGGGAAAATCTTCCCAGTGGGGTCATAGATAGAAATTACTGACAGAAATAGACAGGTTTTTAACTCTTCGCCACTATCCAAAACTAAAGAGTGCTGGCTATACTTACACTATGATCTTACTCTTACCCTCTATCACAGGGGTCGGCAAACTTGGCTCTCCAGCTGTGGTGGAATTATAAATCCCATGAGGCATTGCAAAACTCTTGACAGCCACAGGCATGACTCACAGAGTCAAAGGCACGCTGGGATTTGTAGTGTCACCACAGCTGAAGTGCTCAGTTTGCCTACCCCTGCGCAGGTGCACGCACGTACCTTCAGAGGTCTATAAGTCCTCATTCACACGAGAAACGGCCGGCATGTACAGCTCCCGGGAAGGACAGGTGCTGCGTGTGATTTTTACGCAGCCCCCGTCCTTCTCTATGGGAGTACGCGGCCGTACGCCGCCCTACGCTCACCCCAAGTGCAGGTCCGAACGGGTGCGGGTGTCCCGGCTTGGATGCAGACAGGATCCATCCTGTCAGCGTACGAGTATGGACACTCGCACGGACGTGCAGGGCGAGTAAGCGTAGGGGCGGCGTACAGCCGCGTAGTCCCATAGAGAAAGACAGGGGCTGCGTACAAATCACACGCAGCACCTGTCCTTCCCGGGAGCTGCCCGATACGGCCGTGCACGCAGCATAAATCTGTAGGTTTTTGTAGCGGAAATATCAGATCGCCCCGTGAGAATGAATCCTTCCAACTTAGAGACCCCCCCAGCTGCTGCTCGCGGTATACTGGGACGCCGCAGCTGAAGCGGATCCCGGCAATTGTGCCGGTATCTGCCCAGCTGCGTGAGTGACAGCTGGCTCTGCCTATCTAAAGGCAGAGCCAGCTGCACCCGCCCCCTCCCGTTCCGCCAGTCAGCGCTGGCGGAGCGGGGAGAGGGGAATCCAGCCCCTCCCCTGTCACAGCAGAGAGCCGTGACAGGATCAAGAGATGAGCGAACGCCGGTATGTGTTCGCTCACCTCCCGATCTACTGAGCCGACCTGTGACAGTTTCATTGTCACAGGTCGGCTAGAACTATGAGGTGATTGAAAAGCACTCACCTCATAGTTCTCCTTTAAACACAAGATTAAGTATCTTTATTTTAGTCATGTGACTGTCATTTTCAAATCTCATTGGACCCAATGGAAAATACCTACAGTAACATTTTTGAAGCTATATATACCTATCCTGTGTGTTATCTTTTTGCAAGGAGCCTACTGTGTCCCACCATGACAAAATGTATGTTACATGCGAGATTTACACCATGTTAAACTTTCACTTCAATGGCTTCCCTTGGTGGGCACAAAAGAAACAGCAGCATAGGCCAGACAGAAGCTGAAAAACATGGATGCTGGAACCTGTCCTGCGAACGTAGCCTGAAGTATGCCAAGCCATTGAATATACAGACACCTGCCCTCCTCGTCCACCCTTTGAGGGCCGCATTGTTCTCCACAAATAAACTATTGACACGCACTATCATTCTTTCCATGTAATCAGTAATTAGGTTCAGATTGGACTCATCAAACATTACAATACCCTTTTCAGAAAGACATTGGCTTAAATGCCATTCTCGCCTGCAGTGATAGTCCACCATTGTTTGCAAAATGGCCACCATTCATTCTAATTGTGTGTTTCATCACCGCTGTTTGTTTATGCTCATCAGGAACACAATGGCCCCTGTGTGTTTGGTGGCCTGGCCTCGTCTTAAGTGCAGGACAAGCGGTAGTCTGTGTTTAGGCGGTACAATTTAATTACCCCTGTCAGTCATGATTCAATCATATACAAACCTGTTTACAAACTGCAAAGTGCAGAAGTCAGTCTAAGCCACTTTTTCCTGGAGAGCTGTCCAGCTCCATTTTTGTGGCTCTGAATTGCAGAACAAAGCTAGCCGAGGATGTATCGTATGAGCGAAAATGTATATTGTAATGGAGGAGAGCGGTCAGACAACACTGAAACTGGGATGATCACAATCAACGCCACCTGTCCAGGATTCACCCGGACAGTCCGGTTTTTGAGTCCTGTGTCTGGGTTTCAGGCCAGCTGACACCCGGACACTTTCCATTTTTTGATAGGAAGATGGAAGAGGAGATGTGCCAGCCCGTGGCTCACAGGAAGGCTGCCGAGGTCCCCAGCAAGCACGGGACCTTGGCAGCCTTCCTGCGAGCCACAGGCGCATAGAAGGCCACGTTCCTCGCCTCCAGACCCCTGGTGAGACACCGCACAGCACTCCTGAAAGTCTGCATAGCCCACATGCATAGTTACATAGTATTTGAGGTTGAATAAAGACATAAGTCCACATAGCCACCTGAGAAACCACAGAGCCACTTGAATGCCCACACAGCCTACCTGAGAGCCTGCACAGCCTCCTGACAGCCTGCACAGCTCACATGAGAGCCTCCACAGCTCATCCACCTGAGAGCAATTGAGGAACCTGACCTTGGGGCAGCAGGGAGAGTAAATCCAGCCCTGAGCTCATCCCTAATCATTTTATGGGGCAAGGTAATCAGTCAGGTTGGATTTCCGCCGTTGATTGTGATCATCCCAGAATCCACCTGAGAGCAAGCACAGCCCTGGTGAGAGCCCACACAGGCCACCTGAGACCCTGGAGACATCAGGGAGCCACCCCGGAACAACACATATGTTGCTTGATATTCATTTTGTATTGCTGTATAATGTATTGCTGGAACTTGTAGTCCTCTATAGCCAGTCTCCTTACTCCCTCCCTTGGCTGTCTCTCCTTGCTTTTTCTCCTGGGTTCTTCTCCTCGCTCTCTCCTCTATATTCTCCAAAAGAGAAAATTGCGGCGCTAGATCGTTGGGGTTTCATTTGAAGAAAAGGTGGCAACCCTAGTGGCGGCACTGTCCGGGCACACGCACACCAGCAGCCATGCTGTTGAGTGTGGCTGCTGGTGTGAACAAGCCCTCACACTGATTAAACGCTACATTTATTTCTTAGACTTTGTGTCATGCTGGCCGGTAAAACAAAAGCGCAGTGGTTATTATTATCATTATTATTACAAATATAAGCAAATCAATCCAGTCTGTTTTCTTCCAAATTCCTTATGTTCCATATTCCAAGCCGCAGCAGACAGAGGCGAGACTGAAACCTGGAAGACAGACGGGTCTCTTGTGAGAGCGGAATGTCTTCACTTCACAGTGTTGTGTGAAAGGGGAGAAACTACACAAGCCGACAAGTCAGCAGGGGTTGTATGACATGGGCAGGTTGCAGCTCACAACAAGGCTTCAGACAGGCCTCAGTCCTAAAACAAGCAAACAATGACATTCCTGTTTATGAGAACGTCTCCGACCACCTTGTAAGTGTCAGATTTTTCCGGCTCAGTCAGGAAGGACGCCTCTCGGAGTCCTGGCCATTGCAAAATAAAACGGGGGCCGCTCTGTAACATAAGGCGCCGCGGCGAAGACCTCCATCATGCCAGGGTGCCAAAAATGAAGGTTGTGTTTAACCCTCAGGGCCTGACAGGCCAGGAAACAAAGTGGCTTACAGTGCGGAGCCACTGATTATGATTTTAAAGCTGAGCTCCAGCTTTCCCTTCAGTCTTGCACAGTTGTACCGGCTTCTCTCCTCTCCTGGACTGACATTGCTTATTCTGATTTCACTGCACACTGAGAGCTTCTCACAATGTGCATTAGAAGCTGCAGCAAGTCAGATAGAGCCCGCCTCATTTCCTGGCTGGAGGACATCCAGCATTATCTAGTGCTTTCCTGTCCAGCCTGACTGTCTCTGGCCAGCCCCTTCCATTCACTGGAAGTTAGTTCTTTCTATCATGGAGGTTTAGCATCACATGTTTGCAGTGTACTGTTTGCAGGATGCAATGTATAGCCCCCTGCTGGCCCCTCCCACAAGCCATGATTTTTTGTTGCATTGCATAGAGAAGCACAAAGAGCCCAAAATGATGTAAAGGGATCTAAAATGAGGGGAAATATAAGCTGAATACACTTCAGCTTTAAAGATTTACCCTCTATTTGCCTCTTTACCCCTAAATTGCCTCACGTTCCGCCATTAGAAAAATCCTAAAGAGACCCTGTCACCAACTTAAAAAATTGCAGGTAAAAGAAAAAAAACTATTTTAAATGA